CCACTGAGCTGAAAACTGCATTTCTCAAGTATAAATGAAGACTTGTTACTGTATTGATTGATGGTACACTTCAGCCGGGAGGGGCTGAAATCGATGAGCGCCACATGGAGCCTGAAGACGCGGGGCTGAAGACCGATGTCCGTGTTGCCTCCCAAACACCCCACATCTCACTCATAAATAAATGAGGGACAGTGCATTTCCTGAAGAATTGCTCTGCTTCGAAGGGGAAAGATGCCTCAGTGCAGATATCACACACATTTTTTTTATGGAGGGCAGAATCTATTCATCAGAAATTAATTTAAAAGGTTCCTTTGTGCAGCAATAACATTTAGTGTGTGTGTGATTATTCTCACACTCATCATAAAACTGAAAACGCTCTTGCACAAATTAATTTAGCTTGAGACCTACCGAGCGCTATTAAGTATGAATTTCTCATGTGAGTGAGTTTGAGTCTGAAATTACTGTAAATGAAGCGTTGTCTGTAATTTGAAATTATATTCAGTAATTGTTTTATTAAACTGCTCATATTGGATTGTATTGATAGACATTGACGGACAACAATTCTGTCGATAAGCGTCACTGAATTCAGATCATGTTTTTTCTATAAATTCAAACTTTCCACAGAGGACGGACGTAGACTTAAAAACATATTCTTAGCCGCACAAATCCCCACAACTCTCCAATGGCAACCACAACGCAGACAAATGCCGTCCAAGGCTGCATCCACCCCTCAGGACTGATCGACCTTTGGGCACCTCAGAAACATCTGCACCAGCAGCATTAGGACGGCTCGACCAAATTATTACCAGTTAGTGATCTCTGTCCCTCATCATGGCAACAAGTACGTGGTCACATTACCCACAGATCACGCATCCGTGAACGCTTTTCCCCGCCCTTCCCTCTCCTGTGGTCTCTTTTAGCAGCTCTGCAGATTCACCTGGAGACTTTAAGTCTAATCTGTCCAGCAGAGTAAGTCCCCAATGCTTCCGCTTCTGCTGGCTGCCATTTCATTTTAGTTTGGTGAGCAGTGCAAACGTTTGCACTGCTCACCAATGCTGATATCCAGAATCCCAACACATATAAACGTCCTGTTGCGGAATCATTGATCTGGTTTCATTGAATATATTTTCTTTCTCCATGATTTAAAAAAATGTTGCTGCCTTGTTTTACCTCACTGAAGCATTTAATATCGTTGATTGTAGAATCTTTATCCGTTAACTACAGTCCACTGGTCTGGATGATCTCAGACTGTTGTTGCTGATTGGACTCAGTGAAGCCGTTTCACCATCACAGTTTTGTTGCCATAAGGGTCTGTCCTCGATATGTCTACATTGTACTCAAACGATATATTTCATCCTAATCAATACTTTAATGTGCATTTTTTTGTGCCAGGCTTCACACCACATGTCTTCAGTCTACTCTTGGTGTTTTATAGTTCTTAATTCCTAATTATAGACTGGTTATAAAAGAAGAAAAGACCAAGTCATTCAAATACCTCTGACCGCCATTAAAGATTCAAATTCCACATTTCACTCAGAAATAAAAATAATCAAACTTCTTGTACAGAAAAGTACAGTAAAGTCTGTCTTATTTGAACCTTTACACTATAATGCAGTCTACTTTCCTGTTTGTTCTTGAATACGGAGGTGTTTTCTATTGTCAGGCTAAACTCTTTGTATGAGTGCGTTATGAGATTTATAACAAATGGCAAATTTTGGACCCGTCATTGTTGTCTGTATCACATCATTGGATTTATTATCACTGTGGTGTTTAATGTATGTTAGGTAGATGCCAGTTTATGAGAAGTAACCGTAATGTTAATACAAAATACAACAGGTTATGCTAAAAATGTTTTAGCATAACCTGAGTATTTAGAAAAATCCCATTGTTCTAACATGTATTTAGCTAATTTTCTTTTTAATTAGTTTAATAAGCAACATGATTTTTAATATTTACCTTAATGAATATTATGTAAGTATTGGATGGCCTTATTTATGTGGGAGTCCTTCAAAAGACACCCACAATTTGGGAGTTGAAATAGCTCTTGGTTCAGTTTGAGCTCGTACTGCTTTGCAGCCATATCGGCTCAACACCTCTGTACTTAATTTCATGAGCCAGTTATTATTGCTAACACTAATTCCAATTTGGAATTAGTAGTCTGAGTCTGAGATGGATGCTTTTGACCCATTCTATTGATGATTATCATAGTCAGAAAGTTTTGCTATTAATATTAATTAATTTTCATACAACACAAACCATAATGAGGAAATGTCAGAGGATCACCGAAGTCATGGCAAGTTTATCCGCTCACTATATCGGTAAGAGAGAGAACAGCAATCCATCCAAAAGTTGTATGGATATCTCTACATCCGTTGGGCCAAAGCCGCCCGCTTCACTGGCTGCTACAAAGCACAGCTCCTGTTTAACATGAGATTGGCCTTTTAGATGGCACATTGAAACCGCACGCCACTGTGCAGTACGGCAGATTTAATAAAGCCCCTCCAACATATTGTGAGATACGAACGCCCCAGCAGAATTTGGCAAAGCCTTCGGTGATACTGGCGGCCAGAGAGCGTAAATGTCACCCTGGTTAACCTGCTCTATGTGACAAAACAGATAAGACAAACAGGAAATGGATTTTTATCTGCCCGCAAAGCTTTCTCAATTATTATTTGATTTCATGTGTGTGTAAAGTCTGCTGCTCGCGCGTCGACGCTTCGGCCCAATGCGATTTATTAAGAAACCAATTTTCAAGGCTTGATATCAAGCGAAGGGGTGAAAGTGAGATCCATCGCTCACAAGCCGTGGCGTGCGAGAGATGTCAAAATAATAGGTTATTATTTGCACTCCAACTCAGGCTCCTGTTCTCCACCCTTGCTGGCTGTCCCAGCCCACACCTGCTGAGTGGGGAAGGTGCCCTGTAAATAAGGATGAGGTGCACGGTGTGCTGAATGTCAGAGCAAAGGGCCGGGGGGGCACGAGGGGGTGGCAACACCTTAGAAATGGTCGCCGCCTCCAGACATGGCGCGAATGGCAAAGACGGCGTGAAGGTGACATGGCGCCGCAGGAACGGCTCTTCATCGCCGTGAGTGTGAAGATGTTACGTGTGGCTCGAGGGCAGAGGTCTAATAACAAGAGCAAAGGGCACGAGCCTGTGAGCTTGTAAAGGACGCTGTAACATCGTGTGACTCTTTATTCAGAACAGTTTACTTACAAACAGCATCACAGAAGTAGACATATAAAGGATATTATAAAAATAAAATTATCTTTGACACTGATTATGTCACTGGATGGAGATGGACAGAAATGCACACAAATCCCTGGAGAAATATCACAGATTGTTTTCACAGCACTTGTTCAAATAAAATAGAGGGAACACCTCTTAAAAAAAATAAAGAATGAAAGAAAGCAATCAAAAAGCAGAGCTGCATGTCATATCTGACAATCTGAAGGTTCAATCACTACTGTGGGTTTCATTTAGAGCTTTGTCGGCAATCAGAGATGTGTAAAGCCCTGAATGCTTCACCGGTGATACAAGGGGCAAAGGGGCAAGCTAGTGCTACAAATACCAAATGTTAGTCTGGCACTCAAGCACATTATTTTTTTCCTGTTTCTATGGTGAATCTTCAAATTAAGTCAAAATCTTTGATGGAATGAGTTGCCTTTGACTTCCTACAAGAGCCAGACACCAGACAGTGCTTTGTGCAGCGCTATTTAGAGCAAACGGGCCCCGTAGAAGTCAAGGGGGCCGGGTGACTGCTGTCTGAGCGCCGCTCATAAACTGCAGAGCGACGGTTGTGTGATCAGAACGGCCTCCTCTCGATTCTACTTCTGCAGGAGCAGAAGCAAGAGGCATAGCTTAAATCAACCCTGGATAGCCTGAGAGAAAAATAGCACACACGCACACACACACACACACACACACACACACACACACACACACACATACACAACAGCCGGCCTGACGGTGAGTCAATACCTGACATTCATCCTTTCGGTCCAGCAACGCTTTTTAATTAGGCAATGAATCCCCTACATGGCTCAGGTCACCTGCTATCTAAACAGAGTATTATTGTTAAGCAATGGCTTCGTCTAAATGCTACTTGATGGATAAATAGTCTGGGGAGGCTGGCTTTGTTCTCTCTTTGGTGAATATCAAGTTTAGTTAAGTAGCAGCAAAGTCAATAGAATTTTTGGATTCTGAATGAAAACAAAAATATTGTCTCGGGCCTTTTCTGATGGCACATTTATTTTTTTCCCTTACGATTGAATCTCCAAAACGATGAAGCTTTATCGACAGCTGTCTGCCAAGTGTTGATGCAAGATGAGTACTGATGACCACTTCATCAGCATGAACGTCACGGTCCCGAATGACTCAAGCCGGCACTCTTTGGCACGCCGCACGTGCACCATTGCATTGAAAACAGAAATTAGCATAGATCACTCTGTCCGCCACAAACGCTTCATTACACGTGATGAAGTGTGATTGGTGGAGAGGGGTAGAGGACACGCAACCACGGCCCGCGATATCTGATAATCCTCATCTATTTGGCTCCATTATGATAAACTTTTCCATGTTTAGTCAACGACCTCTCGTTTAGCCCTTTATTAGAACGGCATTTTGTTTGAGGTTGTTCAGATGTTCATAGAGAGACTCATTAAATGGTGATTAGGGAAACTGTTTCATGTTAATCCTGCTGTTTTTGCTGTTGAGTGCAATACTTTGTGATGGAGACGAGAACAAGGGATACAGCGACCCCTGCAGGTCAGCAGTTATACTGCCTTTCCACTAATAAGTGCCCTAGGGAAAGTACATTATTGAGATATCAATAATAGTATCAAACAGCCAGTATTTACATTATTACATTAGATATGGCATCGCAGTTTGAATGATCAGCTTTGCCTATGACATTGTTAAATGCTCCAACTATCAGCTGTAAATCCATGTGTGGCAGTAGAGTCGAGTTGAGAGGAAGTTCAACTCGCGAGTAATTGGCGCGCGCACGGTTTGTCTCCGGTCGGCTTCCGTACCCCCACCAGGAAGTGACAACACTTCCATCCAGTGTGTGTGTCTGTGTGTGTGTGTGTCTGTGTGGCGGCGGTTACAACTCATTCATTTCAAAATGCGTAGAAGAACCGAAGCTCAAGCATCCAGCAGCGAGCCCGAACATGAAAGAAACAGAAAGGTGACGCGCTGCCGCCGATAGCTTCTGCTAGCTAACGCGATGCTAAGGCAGGAGTCGGCCTGCTCTCCAGCGCCGCTCGCTCCACGTTTGACTTAACAATTCATTTCCCTCCTACATGAACTAGGAGCCCCAGCAGAAAGCGCAGAGCCGAGCTGGAGGCCGAGCGTCTTACGGCTCCGCGCTCATCACCGTCGGAAAGTGTCTCCTCGTGGTCCTCTTCGTCCCTCCGTTCCTCAACTACGCGTCTCTGCAGAGAGAAGGACAGATGCTGTTGCCCGAAGGTTCCCGATGTCTTACGCTAACAAAGTCATTGTTCCCTTCAGTTTCATTTTTATTACCACCGGGAATACATTAAATACACCTGTTCATGTCTGTTCTTCTCCCTTTTCCATCCAGATGGTCAGATTGTTGATGTTGGTTTGGGTCAAAAGATGCATCTTCTGTGTAAAGGACAAGGACAGCCAGTTGGTAATACATGTTATGATGTTATTGTATGATCTGCCACGTCTGGTTGTCTTTCACTTATGATAAATTATCTACTTCAGCGGATCCTCAATTTCCTTTGACCCTGGGGACATTTTTGCTAAATGAAAGTGGGTTCGGAGTTAATGAACGGTAATAATATTCATTACCTAAAATGAATTACTTCCTGATCTCGGCCCTCCCCACTGTTACTCTATTTTAATGCACTTTAACATCCTATTTACAAAAACATGATCCCATAGTGAATCAAGTTATTGTAATTTTGCAAATATCCACCTGGTGCTTGACTGCAGGCCAGATCCTTAAGCTGAGCCTCACTCATCTACACTGTCTGGACTTGATGGAGTCTTTGTTTTTGCTCACTCTAACCAGTTATTATTTTTCTCCTACAGTCATACTAGACGCCCCGACTGGAATGTCTTCAGAAGTTTGGTTCCATGTACAGGAAAGTGTGGCCACCTTAACAAAGGTGAGGAAATTGCACAATCACTGTGGATTCTGTTGGAAAAAAATACTAAAACTGTTAAAGGAACAAAAACACAGACAACCTCCAGGCCGGACAACGACACCGTAAGGACCACCAGTTACAAAGTAGCTACGCCCTACAGCGCACCCTGCTTTATGGTCCATTTAACTCTAAACGTACAGACCTGCATCTAGAGGTTACGACTCGTGTGTTTTACTGAGGGAATAAATCGAGTGAGAAGTGGTCATTTTCTCAATGACTTCTATACAATCCGGGGTGTCGCCCCCTGATGGCCCTTAGAAAGAATGCACTTCCGCGTTGGCTTTTACCTTCCAGACCCAATATGTGATGAATATCACGTACCAAGGACGTCCACAGTGGGGAAGCTCCTTTGAATCAGTCACTACTAATGCAGCAGTATTGTCAGGGTCCCGTGGGGAGAGTTCCAGCGGGGGGCTCAGCCACGTCGTCTCCGCTCAACAAGTACTCGGCGCAGCAGAAAGTCTGGGCCGACAGCCTGCCCCATGCCGTTTGTCCGAGATGTGACTCAAATTGGGTCACATGCATGCTGGGGGAGAGGGGGGGGGGTTCCAAATGCAGTAAGTCCCAGATGCAGTAACCACGGCCTGTTTACACCATTTCTTATTTATCATGTTACTCGGCCATCATGCATTTTTTAAAGTCCACGGACGGGTCGGGGGGTAAGCGGGGGGGTGGAGCGGGGTCCTCTTTGGGAGCATCTCATGCGTATGTAGAGCATGGTGTTTTATTTAACGTCCCTGTATACCTGTTTGTCCTGCTGCTCAGGTGTGCACCTTCGACAGAATGGGACTGGGCTTCAGCAGGCGGCTGCTGCCCAATGAAACCACAGGAACCGAGAAAGTCTGGGGGGTGTCGACGACTGGACGGTAAGTGCAATATACCTGGAGGCAGTTCTCAGTTTGACTGCGAGGTGATGGGGGGGGGGTTACACTTTTCCCGCTGTACACAACATCTGCATCGTCAATACAGTGGCATGTTTTTGTTTGTTGCGTGGGTGGGCGGTTTCACACCTGCTGATCCATCTGTCGCATTCATCTGTCGTTGGGTTTGTAAAAATCATTCGTTGACATTTTGGATGAGATGTGGGCCAAACACTTGTGTATGAGTCTGTTGCTAGTCAAAGATTTTTTCATATTTTGCTTTAGCCAGAAAGAAAGACAAATATTCATTCTACAACGTAAAGATCTTAAGGTCAGAAAGAAATCTTCCCATCAGACCAACTTCTGGTGTACGTGATAAAGTTGACTAGTGATTGATGACTTTGGGGATTACTTCATGTTTCAACAGTACCAAGTGCAGTGTATGCACACTCCCACAGACTGCCTGTATAGAAATGCATATTTACCCCCCCGATGTAATTATAGGGGAAACACGGGTTTCAGAATGCTGGATTTAGAGGACAAATCGATCTGAATCTCTGCAAAGCGACAAATCTTCTGTTGATCAAGTGATAATGTCAGCCTCGCATCGATCAGACTGTACGCCGGTACATGGTGTGGCACTGCACTGTGTCAGGCCAGAAGAAGCCCACCTAGAGCTGCTCTACATGCGGCACAGTCGGGAATGCCAACAGGTTCAGTTTTGTCTCTTTGAAATCAATGTTCCTTTGACGAAGTGGCTGCTCGGGACGTTTCATCCGTGTCCCGGTCGGCACAGCCCGGTCTGCGCATTCCTACGCCCAACCAACCCCTTCCTCATGCCGTGGGGCGGGTGGGGGTGAGCGAGGACGGGGTTAGCCGGCGGTCAGCAAGTTTACCTTGGCAAGAGTAGCAGAAATCAATTTCCCAGAATTCAATATCTCAAGGAGGCTTGATGACTGCTTCACCTTAACCCTGTGAGTCTTTTGAAGACTCCTCGTTCCAGCGGGACACCTCGGGTTTTATTCATTAGCACAACAAACCCCGGGCAGCAGATGGCTATCCGCAGCTCATGTAGCGATGATGCGCAGTCTGATGATTGCAATTAACCGCTGCTTCTCCTGAGGATTGGAGATGAAGAGGAGCCACAACGCTGTTTGGGTTTCGAGCAGTGCTGTTTCTTTCCTCATCTTTGCTTATTCGTAACGCCTCTTAGTTGAGCCGTTAACGGGCAGACGAGGTGAATGACTCATAATAAGGAGGCCCGGTCCCACCTGGTCGATGAGGAGGCCCGGCCCCACCTGGTCGATGAGGAGGCCCGGTCCCACCTGGTCGATGAGGAGGCCCGGTCCCACCTGGTCGATGAGGAGGCCCGGCCCCACCTGGTCGATGAGGAGGCCCGGCCCCACCTGGTCGATGAGGAGGCCCGGCCCCACCTGGTCGATGAGGAGGCCCGGCCCCACCTGGTCGATGAGGAGGCCCGGCCCCACCTGGTCGATGAGGAGGCCCGGCCCCACCTGGTCGATGAGGAGGCCCGGTCCCACCTGGTCGATGAGGAGGCCCGGCGCCACCTGGTCGATGAGGAGGCCCGGCGCCACCTGGTCGATGAGGAGGCCCGGCCCCACCTGGTCGATGAGGAGGCCCGGCCCCACCTGGTCGATGAGGAGGCCCGGCCCCACCTGGTCGATGAGGAGGCCCGGTCCCACCTGGTCGATGAGCAGACCTTGAATCCAGGGTCTAACAGCTGAACTTTATTTGGAATTGATCAGCATCACTTTAAATGATGACGTCAGTAGGCTGAATGGAGACACTTCCTGGCCCAGATCACAGCGTGTCCAGGTTCAGTTGTGAGACCGTGTTTTTGTTGTCCTCCTCCTCGCTGCAGGATGGTGGATGATCTGCACCGACTCCTGCAGGCCGCTGCCATCGCCAAGCCCTTCATCCTGGTGGGCTCGGAGCTCGGCGCGCTCAACGGGAGGTTCTACAGCCACATCCACGACGTGTAAGTACAGCGTCATTTTAACTTTAATTATTCACCTTGAGAAGGATTAAAAGACTTCAATTTTATTTTTAAAATGATTAAAACCTTCGGCCTGGATTTTGCTCCACACCACATCCTCTATAACAGTTTGCAAGTAGTGTGCGTCTCCCAAGCTGGCACTTAACAAAATATAATCCAGTGTCGATTTCCCCTCCTGCCCCATAACTCGCCCAACGCAGTGATTAACGCGACAAGTGGCCTCAAAGATTTACTATTTAATCAGGCACCGTGTTGCTGCCGGTCAGGAAGGAAATGAATGTGGGTGGATGACGCCTCTCTGGATGGAAATATGGTCCCTGGAGCCGGCGTGTGGTCATCCGTCCGCGGGGGCGGAGGATGGAAGAGTCTGCGGGGAAGACGGGCGGCAGGACGCTCATCCATCTCGCGCTTATTACGACCTGAACGAGGGCGTTCCGTCACTCCTTCATCTCCGTGTGTGTGTCCTCTCTGCGTCCTCAGGCAAGTGTCGGACCTCGTGCTGATCGATCCCATCCCAGAGGACGTTTTTGAGGACGAGCAGTGGACGCAGTACTGGTGAGCTCGGGACGAGTGGGAGGATGTAACTGGGGGAAACGGGAAGGTGGAAAATGAGTCGTGAGAGGAGAGGGCAGGTAGAAAGCCGATAATCAGCAGGGAAAGAGAAAAAAAAAAGAAAGGGAAACGTACCAAGAAAGAGGATTAATGGGAGGCCAAAGGAAGCCATTGGCTCCTGCACCCTGAAACGGATGAGGGTGGTGACGGTGGTCGGAGTGGCAGCAAGTGTAATAACACCGCTTTAATCCTCCAGGCGAGCTGTATTTGTGTCAAGTGTTGGTCGTTGTCACACCGTACATCTCTGTATGCATTAATTATCTTACAAGGGGTCTGGGTTATTAATGAGAGCGGATGGGGGAATGTTGGAATACCTGCTGATTCCGCAACACGACGGCATCTCAGCTTGTTTACAAGCGAAGCGTGTCGGGTGATTCTCCACGTTTCTATCGTTTAGCAGAACAGCAGAGCAGTGATGGCTTCATAGTGATCATATCTGAAGGAACAGGATACATCCATATGTGCCTTGCTTCCATCACTACACTGAATAGAGTACATTACTTTGAAGAGCCGTCCGGATGGCCCGGTGTCTTGCCATGGGACCGTTCCCTCGGCAGAGAAGTATGTGCAGGCGGTGAAGTCCGTCCCCAGCCAACAAGCTATCAAACGAGCTAACGGCTAGCATCATGAAGTGGCAGTCAGACACTGTTCCTGTAGAAGTCGGTGCATTTCACCGGGCTGCCTGCGCCTACGGGTGCTGTTTGGTCCCAAAACGTGACGGCGTTCGGTGGTCCGATGTGAGTAGGACTTTCACAACGAGTACAAAGTCGTTATGTCTTCTATGATTGATGCTGAGGACAAACATTGTTTGGAGAGTTGTTTTCGGGGTGATAAGCCACGCCCCCCGAAAGTACGCCGGCGTTTAGAGCGTTTGAGGCGACGTGAAAGCTTTGCGTTGCGTTTGCTGTGAACTCACCATTGGGATGCAAATTCACCTCCATGGAAGTATTGGATTTGTACAACACTGTAGTGAGTATGTGGAATAAAACAAAGCTTTAGTTGGTTATTATATATCAGTATAATTACTCCTCAAGAGTTCATTTCAGAAACTATTTCAACATCGCTTATGATACAGTGCTTTAACTCTAATGAATTAATAAATGCGTAACATTATTATTTTTCTCGATCTTGCATTTATGTGCAAGTAAGAAATGGTTCTATCACTCAGGCAAGAGGAACCCCAGAATCGATATAAATCAAGTAACATTTACTAAGTATATTTCTGTGAATACACAGTCAGGGATGACGCCATCGCTAAGTGAATCTGAACAGATGCATTAAGTTGCCAGAAAGCAAAAACCCACTTTTTTGCAACCTACATAACATAGAATCCTCAAATGTAATAGTTGGGGTATTTACGTTTTAGTTTGTAAAGCAAAACTTTAGATGTCTTAAGCTTGTGTTTAATTACAGGCCTTATTCAGCCATCTGATCAAAAATCCTTTTGTGATGCCGTCTAACGATGCTAACTGGGAGTTTATACGAACTTTGACGCCACAGCAGGAAAACATTATCAACTAATATGAAGTACTCTCATTTCTGTGCATCCGTCTACCAATATTAGCACCCATGTCATAGAAGCATGAGTGAAGCTAGATAAGAAATGGATCCCTGAAAACGGCCTAATTTGTACGTGACTCAAAGTGGAGCAGCGCAATTTATCACGGGGTATGTGTCCAATTATGCTCCGATTAATAGGCATTCATTTCACAGTACAGCGCAGCCACAATCCAATTATTCTGTGGCGGAGCAATGGGGAAATCAAAAGACTTGCATATGCTGTGTGGAAAAAATTCTCATCGGTGTCAGATTTTAGAGTGAGGAAGGAAAATAGAAATGATATATGTCTGCATTTACGTGTTTACAATTATTTCTATTTGTGTAAAAATATCCCCTTAATGCACCGGTGTTTGTCGGTAATTCTCCTTTGTGTTGGTTGGTAGGAGCGTGTTTCTCCTCCCTCACACCCGTTATTAGTGGTCAGAGGTCTCGCGCTGCTTGCTACACCAGATAAGAGAGCCGGGCTTCACCTGAGCAGGATGGCAGGGACAGCGCGGGACCGGGAGGGTTTACACATCAAAGACCCGCTCACGAACAGAGGCTCACTCCCAAAATGAGTTGTGTTTGCATCCTACAAAAATAATTGTCACCGTCTCCCAAAAGGGCTGTTTGTGTGTCTGTGTGTCTGCCCCGTGTTGTAAGGGGTCAGCGGTCCTATTTGGGGATTTTCTCCTGCAGCCGCAGACTGTGCCTCCTTTCCTTGCAGGCAGAGATAATTCTGCGTGACGGAGCAGCGGGTCCAGCACGAGCGATTAGGGGGAAGCCCCAGTGTACGTCGGGCCGAATTACATTCTGGATGAGAGCCGCTGGCTTGAGTCACTCAGCGCTGTCAGTCTTTGTTTCAGCAGCTCAAGCTTCGGAAGCGTTGCATCCCCCCCCCCTTGAATGCAGACGGAAACATCATACATCTTTACTAGATGGTGTGAGCACTGGGGTAAAGCTGAGATCACATGGCCAGAAGGATGCAAAGAGACGTCCAATAAGCCCGTCTGTGATGAACACGTCAATGCACAGCTGCAGAATGAAGCCAAACAACACGTCACATTGTGTGTCTATGAGAAGATTACCAGACTTCTCTTGATTTATTCCCTCCGTTAACATGAGTTTATGGTCTCTAGTCTCACTCTCCTTCAATACAGCATGTCAGTAAATCATGTTCCATTTAGTCTCTGATTGTGCCAAATCTGTACGGATTGACTTGACAGAACTACTATAAATTCATTCATTTTTTAACACTACAGAAGAAGCTCTGCTATTCTATTTCAGATGTGGGCATATTTGTTGGCTATTCAGAGGTGTAAGCAACAAAGTACAGATGCTTCGTTACCTTACTTAAGTAGACATTTTGGGTATCTATACGTATTTATTTTTCATACGACTTTTAACTTCTATCCAGATAAATCCCATCCGGATGGAGTGGATTTGATTGTGGTTGGATGAGGAGTATAAACATTTACCATCCAGACACCCTATTGGTTTTATCCGAAATCAGATCAGAGGGACGGCGGGTGCGAAAAGTGGTCGGCGGCAAGTTCCTTTGAACGGCAGGTTGGGGGCCGTGTGCAGGTCTACAGTTTTGTCCCTGATGTCCTTACAGAGCTCTCTGGTCTTTGCCATTGGGTGGAGTTGGAGTCTGTTTGATTGAGTGTGTGGACAGGTGTCTTTTATACAGGTAACACGTTCAGTTAATACAGGTAATGAGTGGAGAACAGGAGGGCGTCCTAAAGACAAACTAACAGGTCTGTGAGGGAATTCTTACTGGTTGGTGGGTGATCAGATAAACAAACGTCTGTAGTTACTGTTTTCTTCAGGTTTGTAGCTGAAGGGCCGATGCACAATGCTCACATCCACATGACGTGGGGTGCGTCTCTTTTTAATATCTGTGTGGATACGGGATGCTTTTAAGTGTCTGCCGGCGGAGCGGAGGCCTGCACGGAAGCCTTATTGACTTATGGATCCCAACATGCACACAGGCCTCTGTCCCATTCGTCCTCCTACCTGTCGTTAATGTGCTGAGCAAGGCCTACACTCACACACAGTCAGGATCACGTTCATGCACCGACACACGTGTGTGTGTGTGTGCATATCCTCACGTAGACACACTCCGCTCCCTGTAGTGTAGATAATGGACACGTTTTCTTGCTAACCCTTAGCCCGCTCTGTATGACAGGCAGCGTACGGCTGTCACTTGGACGGCTGCGGTGGGTTTGATTTATCACCTGCACATGCGTGGATATGATGGGTGGAGGAGAGTGTTTCCATCTTTCCCCCCCTCCTCGCAGAGCTTTGTCAGGGGACAGATTTCCAGGCCTAACGGATTCTCCTCCCCTCTAGTGCGCCTCACGTTTCTGTACTGAAGTGCAACGGAATTCAACATAATTTTTTTTAATGTCAAGTAAAATGTCAGTTATTATTAAAGGAATTAACAAACTCTTTTGTAAAGTTAAAACATAGTTTCTGTATTGATAACATAAGTGAGTGAACACCAGTGAGTGATTCACTTTGCTTCAGTGTGGTACAGTAATGGCTCAGAATCCCCCCTCTGTTCTCCCCTGACTCCGCTGCAGCCCTCCCCCATATCCTCCCCCCTCACCAGAGACCCCCAGACGGGGAGGGAATGCCAATTGATTATAATTAGAAGCAGTGTACGCGTAACTATTGCTGTTCCGCTGCACTAATGAATCCGGGCTGCTGCTGCAGTCAACGTGCGACCCCCCGTGTGATGCTGCTGTGGTGCAAAGGTGACACCTTGTGTTCATCTCTGGGTATTACGCCTGATGAGCGCAGAGAGAACTTCAATAACAGCAGTGAAATAGGTAGAAAGGGCCAATGGAGGCGCAGTATGACTGATTAAACCTTCATCAGAGGGATGGCCTGGGGGGGGAAGAAGCTGGTCCCGTGTCTGGTGGTTTTGGTGCACAGTGCTCTGCAGCGCCCGCCAGAGGGGAGGAGTCTGAACGTGTCGTGTCCAAACTGAAGGGACTGCAGTGATCTTTCCTGACTGGAGGTGTACAGGGTCAGGATGGAGGTTCAGGCTGAAGCCAATGATTCTCTCTGCAGACGGCATGATGTTTGTATTGAAACAGTTAAGTCTGGAAATCAGCAGCAGACAAGCTACGGAAAATAACTTGTACCTTCTTCTTTTTTCAAAAGAGATACAAAACTCCATAAAATTACACACATTATCTATTAACAACCCAACTATTAATATTAATACTATAAATAAATAATAATAAAGTATTATGCTCATGATGAAATCACTGTTCTCATGTTTGTACAGAAGAAATACTGTATTATATATATACATTGTTTTACTGCTTATACAGTGTTTTTAAATGACGTACACAGTTATGTAAAAAAACAAGTATCCAGCTCATCATATAACATGTATGTCCATAATAACAGTTTAACAATTCTTTTGTAATTTCAAAGTAACTCCTATTAAATTTATATTAATATGTACATTTATATTAAAAATCTAATCCAGCGTCTTAATTTGGCAAACCTTTTTTATTACATCAAACGTAATGCAGTCTTTTCTTTTAAAGAATAAAAAGCTGCATTGCTCTTGATGTTGAAACCTTCACGGGTGTTGCTCCTCTGGCTCCACCTGATCAGTGCAAAAGTCCAGGCAGAAAGTAGAAGCAACAATGATAACTTACGTCCTTATAGCTCCGTGTCATAGTGAGTAGAGAAGGTCCTCTGCTGATACGGGTCATTGATCCCTAACCTCTAACTGCTCATTGTCTTATTAAGTGCAGTTCAGCACAAACGTTTTGATAGCCCTTTATTGAAGGTGTTCTCTTGTAAATAAACAAGAAAAATCTGTAAAATAACTGTCTCGCAAAGATATTTTACTTTAATTTACGTTTTTTGTTTTTTTTACCGTGTGCATAAAAATTGATTCAAAATATAACAATGCTTGAATCCAATGTATTTTCTTTTTTTTTTTTTTTGTAAAATATATTGCATATTAGTGGTCTACTCCTCCTTTGGTGTAGCGATACATCGCTGTAAATGAAAATGCGCATTAGCAGACATTCGATGAGATAACGCTGCACGTATATTTAAACACACATCAGAGCTTGTAATATGAGAACAACTGTCTCCATGTTAGTGACCAGCTGTGGGATCTATTGGTGACATGTTTTACCCTCCTGCCTCCTTAGACCACATGGTGCTGCCTTAGCCGTTAGACTTCTTTGCCTGCGTGAGTCACGGACCTCATCACGTCCACGTGTCCTCCCTCTCGTAATAGCCTCTGGAATTCTTTGTAGTGACCCTTTTTTAGTGTTCTATCGGCGTAATAGTTAGCTGAGCCTTATGTAATAGTCCGTGTTTAAATGTCCTGCGCTCATTGTAATAGTCGGCAGGCGCTCGTGTAATAGTTGGTGTTTTGTGTGTGAGCGGGCTCTCAGGTGACGGAGGCCCTGCATATGAAATGAGATGGTAATGAGGAGGAGGGAGGGGGGGCCTTATCACTGCAGGGCCAAATTCCGACAGTGAATTGCGCAGTTGTAACAAAAGTAACAGAGCGTCCATTCAGCCTGAACTAATCCAGATGGGAAAGTCAAACAGCAGAAAGTCCACGGCACAAACTCATTTCATCACTTTATTAATTTAGATATTGCCTCCGTGCTCCTGTGGGGGGAGAGAGAGAGAGAGAGAGAGAGAGAGAGAGAAAAAGAGCCCCTCTGAAATGACCAACATCGGTGAGGCGTTTTGCTCTACATGGTCCCCCCACTTCGTCTCCTCCCGTTATCTGTTTAATTCATCCCGCCAATCTCGGCTGTCTTTACCCACTAAATTTCCCTTTGACACGCATGCCTTGCTTCGCATAATCCTCACTCCGGGGCAGAATTAAAAATGGAAAAAAAGAGGAGGGAATAGGACAGGTGGCTGGAGAATCCTTGAAATGGTGTTCAATGCGGGAGCCGGAGAACGATTTGACCAGATTCGAACTGGGGGGGCGGGGGCCTGATAGGGAAGTAGTTCTTTTTTTTTTCCCCCCTTCCTTTTTATTTTTGGAATCAAGGTGGAGGAGGGGTGACAGGTGGAAAATGTGCAGAGACTGAGAAGTCCCTTAAGAGGCGGGTCGGAGCGTCGGTTCTAAATTGTGGTGCAGGAATGACTTCAGGGGGCGGAAACCGTTGCGATGGAGATGAAAATGTCAAAATGTCACTCTCCAAAGGTGTGATTTGAAAAGTTTTTCTCTGTCGACCAAGGCCGAGCGTTAGAACAGACACCTCCGCCTGCATGGATCTATCGCAGGGGGGTCCGCCTCTCGTACAGCCGCCGCCCCGTGTGGCTCCATCTGACCCGCCAGGGGCCGACGTGCTCTGCTTCGGTTCTTCAGGCGGCAGCACGTCATATCAACAGCGGGGGAAATGGGTTCTTTTACAGCGGAGGATTGCGGCGCTTACGATGGAGGTCTGATACGATCGGCGCGAGCGCGGTGAAGCTGCCCGTTGTAAAATGAAGAATATTTCGCTACGGCCTCGTGCCGTGACAAAAAGCCACTGTAGCAACTGAAGTATTGGTATTTCTATACTGAATTGTCAGTTGAACGAGGAATACATCAGTTTGATAAAAGCTCCCTTGCACAGTTGTGTCGCTCCGCTAGTCCAATATTTACAACATAACCACAACATCCAAGCTCCTCACGTCCTGCTCTCCTATCTGTCGATACATCCACTCCCTGTTAAATGCAGGCATGAAAGGAAAGCAATCTGCAAAGGTAGCGACCCATCCAATCGCTGTTACAGTCCCAAATGCCCACCGCTCAGTGGACATTTACAGACTGGATAGATTAAACTGGTAAAATGATCAACAAATAAACCGGCATTAACTGCAGTGCTGCAGCAGGGACGTTTGGATATTTTCTAGAGGTGTTTTAGAGGAACACTGCTAGAAGTCCGGCACAGACCAGGAGTAAGACTTAAGACGGGGGGGCGAGTGTTTCCTGGGGAGGGGGAGGGGGGTGCAGATCTACAGTGTGTCGGCTGCGTGTGGGGGCCGGCGGCGCAGCTCGGCGCGGAAAATGGCGGCGGTGACGGCAGCAGACGCACGGCACTATTGATTGGGCTCCACAGGCTGAGACCGGCCAATTCAGAGCACCAGTGAGCCGAGACCGATTGGGCCTCCTGAGTTACAAAATCCCACAGCTCCTCTTCTCTCATCTGCCAAGTATTTCTCATTCCCCAGGCAAATGTTTTCCAGAAGAAAGTTTTCGATTTTTGGGGGTAAAAGAAAAAAAGAAACGCTGGAGGAATTGTATGACTCGTATGCATGAGCCGCTGTACAGTGAACGGAGCCATCCGGCACCAGCTAAGGCCCACTTGATCTTGGGGTTAAAGATCCAAGTACTTTAAGGGCTGCGATTGAGACACACTTTTAGAATTTAGTTTTGGATTCACGGCCCAATATCTCTCTCCACCTCTCGTTCTGCAGTAGCAGGTGGCTGTTTCAAATAAGCTTGATGGACTTGACTTCTTGTGCCACCAACAAACACAGCTCGCTACGAGCATTTGCTGAGACCTAAATGTGCTTATTTGTTGTTACTCTGCTAGATATGCAATCATGCCAAAGTTAAAGGGTCCAGCAGGCAGCAGCTCTACGCAACGGATCGCATCGCCGCGTAAAAGGTCTACGTCGTGTTCAGGATCATATCAACATGTTACATATTATAATATCATATTACCAAGTTTCTGCACAATTGTCTGGTACTCTGAAAAATGTATGTTTGTTATAATAATAAAAAATATATTTGTCAGTTTCTAAGCACGTAAAGGGTTAATTTCATTGCCGTAGACGTCCTGACAATTTTATTGTCCTCTTCATTTTACTTAACGTGTTTCTGCAAGTAAGATTGTCTCTAACAAATTCCTCAATCTTTTTTACCATTAAAAGTGAGGAAAACTAAGCAAACTTATAGCTTTGTGTCCCATTAACCACGATGGTTTGTACCAACTCAACCGCACAAAGCAAGCAGCCTAGGCTAAGCTAGCTGCTAGGCTAAGCTAGCTGCTAGGCTAAGCTAGCTGCTAGGCTAAGCTAGGCCAGGAGTTGCTGGTTCAACATGTTCCACTCGGTGGAATTCTGCCTCCAAGATGATCAAATGTGTGTAGTTTTGTGTTTTAAATAACATTAACAATTAAACAACAGTGTCTAAAATACATGTTTTTGAAAGTTATTACTTATTAAATATCCATTAAAAACAACATTGTACCGACATCATCATTAATCGAGATTAACGAATTTCAAAATGTGCGATTTTATTCTTTTTTTTTTAATCTATTGATTAGTTTTTAACTTGTCAATAAATCAATAAATGCAGCTTTTAAGACCCGAGTGCAGTTAAATTGGACTTTTGTTTCCCTCCTGCTAACTGTGTGTGTGTGTGTGTGTGTGTGTGTGTGTGTGTGTGTGTGTGTGTGTGTGTGTGTGTGTGTGTGTGTGTGTGTGTGTGTGTGTGTGTGTGTGTGTGTGTGTGTTCAGGTATGGTAAGCTGTTGCCCTCCCTCCAAGCCAGGCAGTTCTCAGCAGCTACGGGGCTGAGCCGCATGCTTCTCATCCTCGGGGTGATCCAACCGACCCTTACAGATCTAAATGTTTCCGAGGACGTCATCCAGCGTCAGGTCAGGATAATGCTCTTAACCACGCACACACACACACACACACACACCTTGCAATGAAGCATGCCCCAAAGGTTGTGACAGATTTGAAAAGACACCTGCAGATATATTGACATTTTTGTGTGTGTTTTTGACATCTCTATAGTCTGGAGACGACGCTTTTCTCTGTGCTGCTGCTCAGGCAATCTGTGCTTCCATGAACCTCATTTATGAACACAAAGGAAAAGAAGTGATATGTTCCAGGCATTCAAAAGCCTCCCATCTGCCCTCCCCGTGCGGCCACAGGATGGCGCTAGTGCGAGAATAATGTCCCCTTCCTCAGCAGAGAGATGAGTGGGTGATGTCTGCAGAGACGTTTGTGTCTCAATGTCTGCTGCCTGGCGTCATTTAAAATAAGAATGAAACCGGTTTCCGGAGCGGATTTGATGCCGCTGTCTGCGCTGTTACCTTGTGACGCTGTTACCTTCTGACGCGCGAAGTCGTCCCTCTGACGGGCCGTGTATGCAGTATAAGCAACTCGCTTCATGCTGTGTGTTAGAGGAAGTTTCCTTTTTTATTTTGCATTTTCCACTCAATCTGTTCAGGAACGTGCACACCGCTTTGTTAACATGGGATGATGCTCTGTATGGGGGGGGGGGGGGCACCTTGTTAGCGCACGGGAACAAACCCCTACGTGGGGAGAGAAAGAGAGCTGTTTGGAGCAGAGGCTAATTTAGCTCCATTTAAACTACAATGTCCCACTTCAGGATCTTTCTTTTTTCTCAAAATGTAATTTGTTCGGAGAGATGGTGGCCCCCCCCCCGTCCCTCCGTCCTTCAACATCTCTTAAATTCCGTCCAGCATCACATTTGAGCCGCAGCTGTTCACAGTTGGTTAAGACGGCGCCTTCTCTGCAGCCAGCCACCCACGATGTGATGGCAGCGGTGATGAGCGACCCATTTCCGCTTTTCAAGTATTACAGTCGCTGCCAGAGAGATAAGGACATCATTGTGCTCGGAATCTCCAAGGACACAGAGAGGTTTTGCAGACTGGCTAGTGAAGGTTATAACATGCGCGCACACACACACACACACACACTCAATAGAGCATGCAGTCCATTTCTCAAGGGCATGTTCTGTAACCGGCGCTTAATTGAACCCGAGCAGAGTTGTTTGCTGCTATGTGAGCGGCACCAAATCTATCCGGTCTCATCGCATGTCCAAGGTAGATGCTAATTCTTTGCACTTTGCGGGGGGGGGGGGACACGGCTTTTCCTCGGAAAAGCGCAAACGTTGGGCGGAACTGAGAAGTTTAAGAGACGGAGCGAGTCTCTGTGTTCTCTTCTTGTTTTCCGTTGCCTCTGACAGTAGCGAAGGCTTTTCGTTGCATGCCGCTTTAATGATGAGAATAATTCTGCGTTGTGTCTGATACATTTACCGTGTCTCTTATAGAAATACCTTCTAAGTAACCCGGCCCACCAGAGCAGTGCTGTGGACGAGCATTACTTTCTGAATGAGAGTGCATCTCAAGTGAGGTACGGCAACCGTTTCTGTGCCCGTTTTCCTGGTGGATTTGCAGTTTGCATGTTTAAGTCTGAATGAATAATTGGAACGAGAAGCGTCTACATGATGTGTTTTTGTTGTCGCCTTTGAAGGGACATCACAAAGTATAAGCCCCTCTCCAGCAGTACGTCAGTGAGCGTGATCACCGGCGATTACTTTGACCAGCAGATACCAGAACATCTAAACCAGGTCAGAGTGTTCAGCGTACAGCCGCACGGACCCACGATGCATTATTAACTCTCGTACGGTGACCGGATGAGGCCGTAATCAGAAGAAGAGAAGAAAATCCAGAATAAATTGTCTTTTTCCTGCACCAGATGGTCGCCGAGCTTCAAAAGAAGTTTCTGGAGGAGTCCTACCCGTCAGCCAATCACATTCACATAAAAGGAGCCGACCGGCGAATGATCTACAAGGAGCCATCTGCCATCAGCCAGCACCTGAGGAAGCTCGTCAGCCGACGACAAGCCAAACAGCAGAGCCAGTGACCCGCGGCCAACGTGCGGCCAACGTGCGGCAATAGCGCCGACACGGACGGGGTGATCGTTGAATATGTTTTAAATATTCAATAAAATATTAGGTATCTTTTCTTTTTTTTTTTTTCTTAGTAAAAGCTAAGGTTCTTTGAAAAGTCCACTTTTAAATTGAAAATAACCGTAGGGCTGTTTGGTGCGATGACATATTTGCTGTCTTAGTTGGAAAATCTTATCTTTCAAGTTTATATTTCAGTCTCTTAACCTGATTGGCCAGAGACAAAATTGAATACATTACTCCTTATCAATGTAAAGGCCACACGCGCCGGCGCTCATTTTATCTCATTTGGTTCAGTCTTAACATTCCGCCTTGTTACAGCCACAGGGAACTACGGTGAGTCTCTCTCGCGCTCTCGGGGGCGTCAGCTCCAGTCATTTGTTACTCGCATATAATTGGCTTAGATCAAACAGTTGTAGACCTCCATCTTTGGACTTTTAATCAGCGAACAGATGAGTCTGTCCTGCAAAGCTTCATTTCTGTAAACGTTTGCGCCTGTTTTTCTCTGCACTGATCTCACTTTTGGGCGAAAGAAAGAGCCGACAGCGATGGTTTATCCTGAGGATTTAAGTTTAATTATGACACCACATCAAAATAAAAATTTCCAACAGATCTGGAATTTAATTCCATCGATATACATGCATAGCAACAACGTTTTAAGAAACATTTTCTCCCATAATCAGGACATTGGAATGATCATTGTACATCAGTATCCCCACTGACCTCCCACCCATCTTGTTCATCAGCAATAAACGTAATTCTTGTACAACTTTTTTTTTCTTCCCTTCGGGGGTTACAAATAATTATATGCACAGTCCCCCCTTCCATAATACTGCTTTTCAGTAATGTTCCCTCATTTACAAAGTATTGCATGGAGAGCAAAATTTCAAAAAGGGAGACCAAAATGTATCATCAAACGGAAATACGAGTACTATACAAGAATGCTGCCATCGTCATGAAAACATCCACATCCGAGTTGAAGAAAAGAGACGGGGACAAACAGCCACATATGTATGCAAAGCCTTGTGCATATGTCGAAAATGTGAGTTGCAGGGTTGTGCCTGTTATCACCCCCAAATGGTGATTTATTTAAGGCAAACAAGTCATTAGTAGCAATCTGCAAGTGACATTTTGGGCATATACAGAAACTGGTACAGCAAATAAGAATACACAAGTGCCTCAGTAGCTATTTTAGTGTCTAAAATGCATTTTTGTATTGTCTGTTTCATTGAGCCTACACTACAGTGTAAACAATGTGTGCTACACAAGAATGACTATACAATTACATTACAAACAACTCTGATATAAATTTCATTTTGAATTTAAATTAATATCACTACTCCTATTAATACTGATTGTAAAATAAATTAATGTGAAAGTGGCACCAATATTATTCTTGATTCATTTTTTTCCTTTTTTTTTTTAACCAATGGTTTTGCATTTTTAAGTCTTAAAACGATGAAAGAAGCTTCTCTTGATTGTCCACAAGCAGCGCTTAGCACTGCGTGATGCACTATTCCAGACACAACAGTGTACCGAAACAAAAGGAGGAAAAAAGGGGGGTAAAAGTTGGGTGAGGGGGGAGTGGGGGGTAAAGGGGAGGGAGAAGAAGAGCGCGTCTCCTCAACCTATTTGACATGCTCTGCAGCGTGTGATGAACAGTAAAACTTCTTGTGGGTGATAAAGTTTGACAGGTTGTTGAACTGGATGTCACACAGGCGGCAGTACTTGCCGCTTCCAGAGCCGTTCACGCCCTTGTTGGCCGCGGGCGCCGCCTCCTCGCCCGGCGACTTGGAGGAAGGCGACATGTTCTCGTTGGAGTCGGCCTGGTGCTCGCCGGCCCACGTGGGCGACGGAGTGGGGTGTTGCCCGTCTGGCTGCGGCTGGTTCTCCTGCTGGGGGGGAGCAGTGCCCGAGCGCTCCTCGGGCTTGTGCCCCCCGTTGACGATGACCATCCCCCGGTTTTTGGGGAGCAGGGGAAGGGGCTCCTTGCCAGGGTGGGGGCAGCCGTTGGCAGCGGGCTGCTGGGCCTGCTCTCGGGTCGCTCCTCCCTCTCCTCCCCCTGTGCCTCCTCCCCCGTTGACGCTCTGCTCCTGCTCGCTGGCCTCCCCCTGCATCACTGGCCCCCCGGTCACGTAATCGGTTGGCTTTATCCCGAAATACGGCGATAGTTGCTCGGAACCTTTCGCCTTCTTTATTGCTCCGGGATAAAGGCAGTGGGGCAGGAACATATTCTTGCTCTCGTCTTTTGACGGGATGAGCTGCGGCTCGGCAAAAGGCTTGAGTCCCGCCAGGTGAGGGGGGAACAAGCCTCCGTTCTGCACCGCCCCCTTCCCGTTACCGCTCTTCTCGCATTTGCCCGGGCTCTTATCGTAGACGTCGTCGGGGCTGTTGTTGCCTTCGCTCTTCACATCTGGGAACATGGTCGGCTCCAGGCTGCCAGTCTCGCCGTGTGCTTGCTGCTGCTGTTGCTGAGCGGCAGCGGCGGCTGTCGCGGGGCAAAAGTTCTGTTTGTGCGCCAGGTAATTCTCCACCTTGTTAAAACTTATCTTGCACACGGCACATTCGTGGTAGTCCAACAGTCTTTTAGGGGAGCTACATGTCTTGTCGGGCGAACACTTTTTGCTGAGATCGATGGGGGCGTCCAGCTCCTGCTGCTCCACTGTATTGCATTTGGGAGCCACGATAGGTTTAGTGACGGTCAAGGAGGCCTCCAGGTGTTTGGGCACCATGCCGGGGAAGATGTCACAGCGCGGGTGGAAGCGCTCTGCCAGGCTCTCTGCAGCTTCCTGCGATGTACAAGGGTTCATTGGAGGAACTCCGAGGAAGCCTGGCTGACCCATGGGGTTCCTCTGGTGCTCCTGGTCCGGCAGACACATCTCGTACATCTTCCTGCGCTTGCGGGCCCTGATGGTCCTCTGCATGGAGGGTACCTTGTTGCTGGACATGCGTTTCATGGGCGGGTCGTGGCGCGTGGCACAGTAGTACTGCTTGTGGACCATGAATGTCTCGTGGCGGCTGAAGGTGATATTGCAGGCCTCGCAGGTTGTCTTGTTCGGGTCATTGTCACTTTCCACCAAACCTGTAGTGGGGCTCTTGCCCTCCAACTGCTTGCCGTTCAGCCTCTCCTCGGCCCCAGTTGGGGTAGCGATCTTCTTCACCTGTCCGGCTAGATCCTTATCAGAGCCTTTGGCCCCGGCGTTGATCATGTCCAACACATTGGCGTTCAGACAGGCGGACTGCATGATGTGGTTGTCGGCCTCCGCAGGGTGGCAGCTGGTCAACATGCTGACGGAGCTGTGACCACTGTTGGGGCTCACCGCCTCGGGTACCTTATCCGAGAGGGCGGAGAAGTCCGGGGACTTTGCCATGTGGTTCCAGCGGCTGTTACAGTAGTGCTTTTTGTGGACCAAGTAGTTGTCCAGGTTGCTGAAGGTGATATTGCATTCGAAACAGGTGGCCCCTTTGGGCATAAGAGGACTGTAGATGACAGGGGGGTAGCTGTTCCCTCCGTGGCGCAGCCTCCGGTGAACGAGCTCTGACATTTTAGCCAGAATCTCAGAAGCCTGCGGGACCACTGAAATGTCTTGGGAGAAAGCAAACTGAGACAAGAAAGGGCCCATGGGAAACGTAGGCATGTTATGCTGCACAGGAGAGGAGGCCAGCCGGGGGCTGGAGGGCTCCGACTTGATCCTAGTGTAAGAAAAACTGGCTTTGCTGCCGGGGTGAGCCTCTCCCTTCTGAGCGGACAGCATGGGCTTCTTCTCTGCCTTGTCGGCTTCCCCGTCTGTGCTGGTCTCCTTGTGGAGGGTCCCTTTGGGACTTCCCAGCAGAGCGTCCTTCCTGTTGGCCAGCTCAGCGCGGGCCTGCTGCTGCTGGAGGCTCTCCTCGGGCCCCCTGGGGGAATGCTCGGTGCCGTCGCCTTCCCTGTGAAGTTTGCTGCCGTGTCCATGTAAGTCCTGATGCTGTAAGAGTTCCCTGTGGCTCTGGAAGCTGATATGGCAGTGATTGCATCTGAAGGCCGCCTGTGACAGGTGAGACATGATGTGATGCTGGAATGTAATAAGAGAATCCGCCGTGTAGTTACAGATTGTGCATTTCAAGCTGGTGCCAGGAGGGAGGCTCTCTTCCATTTTGACACCTGTGAAGGAGATAAAAGGGAGAAATGCTCAGAATCTCGCCTCCCACTTCTCCTTTCGAGTTAACTGTAGAAACCATCAAATGCCGATGCATTATGCCAAGCTTATTCCCATGCACTAGATATATATTTTTTCGCTCAAGGATAAACTGTCAGCTGTGGTAGCTGACAGGCGGATGTGTATATATCTGTGCCGTCCTTCTAAAACACTTTCCTTTCAACAATGAATTGAAAGTACCATTATGAAGAACTAATATATCCAACAAAAACCCTGGTTTTTTGAACGCGCCGCCACTCACCGCTGTGTGAGGTGCTCAGGTGCATTTCCAGCGCCCTGGCCCCCGAGAAGCTCTTGTTGCACTGCGGGAAGGGACACATGCTGGCCGTCTGATGGGGCCCGTTGTCGCTGTCCTCCACCACCGTCTCTGGCTCCCTCTGCCGCCCGCTGCAGTAGTACATGAGATGGGCCTGCAGGTTCCTCTCGCTGCGAAACCAGATTCCACACGCCTTGCAAGGGAAGATGTCCTCTGGAGGGACACGGGAAAGGGGACAAAGGGGACACGATATCAGGGTATGTCCAGCACTTCCATATTCATGCCCAAAGATAAAGAGCTTTGGCACAGACACGCACTCCTCCGTCACTTCCACAGCTCTGACTCTCAAAGCCGTGTTAAAAAGGCTTTTCCCACAAAATCCTGGGCTGCTGCATATCGCCGCGTTGGTACCACTCGGTTGGTGCCCTTTCTCAAGGGCAAACAAGAACACTGGACCATCTGCTTACAGAAGCCTCCCTGTCGGGCTGAACCCAGATAGCCCTCGCTAAGTAAACAAACACGCTATTTGCATGAGGCGTGTATTTTGCAATTAACACGTTCGTCGGAGCCTCGGTGTGTTTATGTGAACCCAAAACTTGAAGGTCGCCGGCTCTTATCTCCAGCGCAGAGACTCATCTGGGTTAATCTACGCCCGGCGGAGACGAGGCTCCTTGTTAAGCAGGTGACTGAGTGCAGAGAGAGAGAGAGAGAGAGAGACTCACTGTTGACGATGGCGGTGGGCAGGATGGACGCCATGGCGGCCTGCTGCGGCAGGAGCTGGATGCTGTCCAGCAGCCTGGCTGGGTACATGCCCTCGCTCAGAGACATGTGGTTCACCGCCTGCAGACGCGAGTCAAAGTCCACGGCGAACGCCACCAGCTCCTCGCCCTCCATCATGTTCTTGGTGGTGGTGCACCACAGTTGGCCACCTGGACAAAGAGAGACGGAAGAGAACATTTAAATGCTTGCTGCGAGGTGGTAGCGGGTGCTGGCGTGCGTCGTATTGCGTAACGGCGTTCGTGGTGCTGGCAGCGTTGGGGAAATGACATTCAAAAGGTTTCCACAGCAACGCGTCTTTTCCAAAATCAGTCCAGCCAGTAGCCGGGGGACTCATGAGGACGGAGAAGACAAAGTGCATCAGCAGAGGGGGATGAGAAAATGTGGTTTGGGCAAAACTGGGGGGGTGGAGCCCTTTCTGTCTTCTCCTCAGCCGGGGTAAACAGTCCAACACCGAGACAGGTCCTTCATATTATTAGATTGTTGTGTTTTGGGATTAAGCATTCCTCTGAAATCTTCTGAACGTATTCATTAAGTCAGAGAAAGGGGAAGGAAGCGGGGAGGGGAGAGTGAAGGTTTTAGCTTAGATAATAATTTATCTCCGCACATGACAGGCTTTTCAGCTGCACTTCATTTTCCATTGAAGAGATTAAAGTTTTTAATGTGACTATTTACAGAAATCTGGCCGGGGAGATAACAACAAACCATGATACGCTCCTGCTAAATGGCAGAATTAGGACATTGTTTCTGAGGAAAGCCGGACAATTAATTAAAGCGCCGCTGTTGGCTCTGGAAGATGTGCAAACATGACGACGGGGGTGTCAGGCTGAGAGGGGACATGTGATTTTGAGTCCCGGCCGATGTGGAATAAAGAGAATCCTGAAGAGAGGTGTGAAGACGTGCGCGCACACATGGGACGCTGATTACTCCTGTTTGAACCCCCCCGTGGAGGAAGCCAAGGTGCGCGACAACAGAGCAGAGCTTTAGGGAGCAGCACACAGCCGCCCGGACGCCACGCTGTAAACCACACCGTCTCATCGTGGAAACTGGCCCCATTATTTTAATTCCAAATTGATTATTACAGATTTAACGTTGGTGTTTT